TTTTAGTTTGTAAGATTCGTGTTATAGTATTTTCGTCAACTCTAACTCCCTACTTTTCTTCAACCCAGTCTGCATACTGAACTCGAGTCTTTTTATTATTACTAGCATAAAGACAAAGTTTATGGTTTTGAGAGTCTGTTAGAGTGACTTTTATTTTGGGGAGTTTTAGGAAGCAATGGAAGCATGTTGACTTATTTTCCGTAAAAAGATGAAATTCCCACAAGTAACGTGTCTATAAAAACCGCAGTGCGTCACGTACGTCACGCGAAAATTATCTAGTCACGTGAGTGCATTTAAGTACTGATATAGGTGGGACTTTTTTAAAATCGTTGCATGGTGTATATATATAAAGGGTGTGCATTTAGCACTAAGTAATGTGTGCATTTAGAGAGGGTGTGCATTTATGAGTGGTCACTCAGTGGTGCATTTATAGAGAGTTGACTGTATTCATCAAACATTACAACCATTTTGACCATTTAATACCATCTATTACGACTATTACGGTATAAAGTTACTTTACAGCAAATACGTCACAACCTTTACTACCTGTTGCAACTACTACGGCAGCTACTATGAACATGTCAAATGCAAAGTCAACATAAATTTTATATTTACAGAACACCTACTGTAGTCATTGTCCAGCGTGAATTTCTCTGTCCCACGTGACGTCATCCGAAATTGCAAATTTTAGTTTTATCTTCTGTTTCTTAGTTTTTTACTCCTTGCCGAGAGAAACTCGATAATATTCGATATAATCCAGAAACCAGAATAAAAAAAAAAAAGTTATACCAATATACTTTTTGCCTTATTCTTAGCTTACCGAGTTTTACCGAATGTACTGAGCATCTTTCGGCAAATGATCAGTGGTGAAATAACTGTCGGTAAATGAACCCTGTCGGTGAAACAACTGTTAGTGAAATGAACCCTTTCAGTAAAATAACTGCTGATGAAATGAACCCTGTCAGTGAAGCGTTGTCGGTAAACAATTAATTATTAGATTAACGATATACTCACCCCGTATTGTGTATCATGTACAGATTTGTTCCTAAAAAGACTCGATATTGTAATTTTTTAAAAAAAGGGAGTAGAAAATCTTATGATTATATGACAAATGTTTTTATTTTCTTTTAAAAAAAAAAGAGAAATGTGAATTTCATCTCTTGTTACCTCATCCTTGATCGTATTTGTCTAATGACTCCCATCGTTAATTTCTTTTTTTGATTCTCTCATTCAATTTAAATTAAGTTCATCATAGAGCGACCGTAATCCGAGTCGGAACGGAAAATTTCCCTTAATAGCTGATTTTAATAACAATTTATTCTCGTAATCGTTATTAGTAATAACAATTATTATGACCTTCAACAAGAATATCACTTAAGCGAAATAACATTCCCTAATTATTAACTCTCTATATGTAAGCATATGATTATCATCGAATTTAATTAGTCACTTGTTAAAAATATATTGTAATGTATGTAAATGTATGACATAATGGACAAGACAAATAGAATGTTTAAGTTCTGCATGGGAGGTTATAAATTCTTAAGGGTTAGTTGCCCTTACTACCCCCAGGTAAGATCTTTTTTAGCCTATACTAATTTTAACTAAATTTTGTGTCACGAAAGATTTTGCTTAACTCTTCCCCCCTAAAATATTTGTCATGGCCTTTACTAACTATTACGGCAGCTACTATGAACATGTCAAATGCAAAGTTAACATAAAAAATGACATATCACAGAATTTCTCTATCCCTCACGTGACATCATCCCGAAATCGCAAATTTTAGTTTTATCTTCCGTTTCTTAGTTTTTTACCCTTGCCGAGAGAAACTCGATAATATTCGATATAATCCAGAAACCCGAATAAAAAAAGAGCTATACCAATGTACTTTTTGCCTTATTCTTAGGTTACCGAGTTTTACCGAATGTACCGAGTGTCTTTCGATGAAATAACCCCGGTGACATAACTGTCAGTAAATGAACCATGTCGGTGAAACAGCTGTTGGTGAATGAACCCTTTCGGTGAAATGAACCCTGTCAGCGAAGCGTTGTCAGTAAATCAGATTGACGATGTACTCACCCTGTATTGAAGCATTAATTTTTTTTTTTATGTATCGTGTACAGATTTGTTCCTAAAACGACTCGATCTTGTGATTTTAAAAAAAAAGGAAATAGAAAATCTTATGATTATATGACAACTGTTTTTATTTTTTTTTTAAAAAAAAAAATGAGAAATGTGAATTTCATCTCTTGTTACCTCATTCTTAATCGTATTTGTCTAATGACTCTCATCGTTAATTTCCTTTTATTTTTATATTTTTAATTTAAATTAGGTTCATCATAGAGCGATCCGTATCATTAATTTCTTTCTTTTGATTTTTTCATTCAATTTAAATTTAAGTTCATCATAGAGCAATCCGTACATCCGCATATCCCTCAATTATGTTGAGCGGAACGGAAATTTCCCTTAATAGCTGATTTTAATAACAATTCATTCACATAATCTTTATTCTTCTTCTATTAGTAATAACGATTATTATTATGATCTTCAACAAGAATATCATTTAAGCGAAATTAATAACTCTCAATATGTAAGCATAAATGTATGACATAATGGACGAGACAAATAGAATTTCAGTCCTGCATGGGAGGTTATAAGTTCTCTAGCCCTTAATCCTAAGGGCAGTGACATATATTAGCCATTATTAGTTTTGTAAGGAGCTTTACCCCACCCCAGATCTTTTTTAACGCTTAACCCCCTAAATATTAGCTAATATACAGTATGTCATGGACACATGTCCCTAACCTTAAATCCTACCTCCAATCTCTAATATTAAATAACAGCATATTAAGAGTTTCATTAGATGATTAATACTAAAAAAAACTAATTATGAATTAATTTTTAATTCGGAATAAGATAATATTTAGTGACATTTATTACGTAATATCCATTCCACCCCATGTAAATCTTATGTTACACTATATATACTAAAACCTTTCTTTACCCACCCCTAAAATATTGCTTAATAAAATGTCGTATGCATACAACCAGTTTTTGTTAATTATAATTTTATTAATAAATCTCATTTTTCTGCTAATCCGCTTATAGTTAATTTACTAATAAAATTAATAAAATTTCTTTCTTTCTATTGGGATGAGTTCAATTTTTCTGAAATTACGCAAATTTTTTATGAGCCATTAATATTTGTTACATTTATGTTGTGGATTTATTTTTATTTTTAATTTCTTTTTTTTGGTCTTTACATAATTTGTACTATGTTAAAATTATGTCGCTCTACAGATATCCGTGATCATCTTAAACAAATAAAAACTTTATTCTAATCACATTCAATTTCTTATTGATTCGTTGTGGTTTCTTTTTTTTGCATAAAATTCTATCGAATTCTAATAATATTATTATAACCCAATTTGATAATATTGGGGAGTTTCTTTTTTTATTCTTTATTGAATTTAAACAGCTTCGATCACGGGTCGCATTTTCCGTTTGATGTACATTGTAACATCATATCTCTATGTTTTATGAAGCTTATATGAGCGTATAAAAAAAAGGTTATGATTTTATACCGAAATTCTGTATTGTAATTCTAAAAATAGTCGGTTTAACTACTTTGGGTGGTTTAATCACAAGAAAAAGTAAAAAAAGTGTATTTCAACTATCTTACTAAAATAGATAAAGATCGGTATTTCATGAGTTTTAAATATAAGGAAAATAAATACAATATGTATATTGTATATTTTAAAATCTCGTTTCAGATTTTGCATTTTTAAAGTTGTACGATTTTTTATTAGAAGCCTTATTTTAGTTTAAATTACAAAAGACGTCAAATCCATTTTTCCTTCATAATGCCAAGAATGGAAACATCATTGAAGTGATCGACCGATTCTTTTGGAGAACAAATTACGTCCATTATTACGTTACATATACAAATTCTTTTCATTAGTACTTATTTTACTTTTTTTGTAAAGAATGTGTAATAAATAAGTATCATTAAGCAATAACATGAGGATTATAAATAATAATAAATAATAACTTTTCGATAATTTTTTTAAAAAAAATTCGTTGTGACTGCGCTATGTTGTAATTTAACCAATTTGTAATTGAAACAAACATTAGATCATAACCGTTATATTTCGGAATACAATTCGGCAATACGAGATAATATCCTACCAATCAATTAATAATTTGATGATTATGTATTAAAATATACACATATATATATGTAAATACATGTAATCGATCACCTATCAATTGTATGACAAATAACTGTTATATGAACAAACTACGAGAAAATAATGGCCAATTTCTAGATTTCTTTTTTAATTAACCTGCATTTTTAATCTCTATTTGTCGAACGCTACAAATTTTAATTTCGGGTATCTGAACAAAAAATAATTTAATTGGTTAAAAAAATTATTTTGTAATAATTACTCCCATGTTTTACCGCAGAAAAAAAAGATATTCAAAAAAAAAAAAATTTCATTATTTTTTTTCTTTTTCTGGAGTAAATATATGATTATTTTATTTTATTTTAAAAAAGAATCCACCTGAATTTGATGTGCGTAACTGGGGGTCGACAAGCATCAATATTTCACGTGCTAATCGGTAATATTATGAAAGAGTAATATTTACAGATGTGTAACTAGAATGAATTCATTCGGTAATCTTGTAAATTGGTTTAGAATTTTTTTATTTCAAATATAATAAAGGCCGAAAACATTTGTTTCGAGTATGGTTACACGGCCTTATATAATTTTAAATGATTTAAATTGATGAAATATATTTAATAGCAGAAGTATCTAACCGTATTTGGGTGATTAGGGATCTACGCTGTAGTCATACGTGAATTTTACCACCAACGGAAATGAAGAAAAACTTGTTATCCATATAGTTGTTAAACGGCCGTTTACTCTGTACATCATTACTTAATTTATTATATAAAAAAAAATAAGTGAAATTTAGTATATAAACATGTCTTGATTCCCTCTTGTAAAAATAATCCATTTTTTCCATTTTATCTTTTCGCCTGGAAGCGAACAAATTACTTTCATTTTTATACACATCTTTAATCTTATTTTTTACCATTTTTCCTTTCATAAACAAAATGAAATTCTCAACAATTCTCTTAGGTGTTGCCTTATACATGCTTTCACCAGTTTCAGCTGGTATAACTACTAACACCCCATTCGCTTCTGTAACTTGGGAAGGCGGTGATGATGAAGATATTATCTGGGCTGACGATGGCAAAGCTCCTAAATTAGCAGATTTAGGAATTACAACTATCGATTTAATGATGGGTAATTCTACAGTTCAAGTCTTTGTTGCAAATATTGCTAAAGTTCCAGCAACTGCTAAACGAGTTGAATATCACGTACCCGAGACCATTGGTCCTATCAGTAATAATTATTTCATTAAATACACCGCGGGAACATATACCTCTTTCTCCGGATCATTTAGAATCGAAGATGTTTATGGACAAGCTCCAATAGCTGCTTCCCCAGCTCCCCCCACAGATCCAGCAGCCCCACCAAAAATAACTGATCCTAATACACCACCTGTAACAGGTGATCCAAAAGCCGCAGTACCTGCTCCTAATCCTATCGCTGCTCCTAGCGCTCCTCCTGCTGGAACACCAAAGTCTACCATTCCTAGCCCCGTTGCTGGTCCTACCCCTAGTACCGCTCAAAATAATTTACCAACCCCCATTAGCAGTGATGCTTCTAATTTATTTCCAAGCTTCTCTGGTGTAGCTGCCGCCGCAGTCGCTTTTGCCTTTACTTATTTATATTAAATGTAGTTTTATTTATTGAGGAACGTGTATATATATAGGACAAAAAAAAAAAATCGCGCTTCTTCAATTTAAATTATCACATAGTTAATTAATATATATGTAATTGTAATTTAATATGAATTTTCCAAAATATAAAATATAATTTATTTTTTAATTAGGTAATTCACTTTTACTTTGTAACTCACTTTGTATAACTTATCTTTCATAATTCATTTTACATAAAAAAATTTTTTTTCCGCTCGATCTTATTTAAAAAAAGAAAAGTTTATCGCGAAAAAATTTTTATTATTATTTTATTTTATTTTATGTTTTCGTTCTCAATTGAGAAAATTGCTTCAGAGAAAATTGCGTCATTCACTTAAACAATGTATGATGAATTGAAACATCGGTTAATTTAGATACATATTTGTTGATTTTAATTTTGAAACATTTAATTTTTGTCAATTACCGATCCCATATATATATATATTTCATTATTCCTTGGCAAAATATATATTACAAATATTCCGATAGGTACACCAACAGCAGAAAGCCAAAATTATCAATTTCATGTAATTGAAAAAATTCTGTTCTTGAAAATGTTGATTTTATTCTGTTTCACATATAAAGGGTTATTCTTAATTCCGGGGGTTTTTTTTTATAAAAAAAATAAAATAAAAATCCTTGTATATAAAGTTAATTAAAAGAAATAATTACTTTATATTATAAAACGCATAATTAATGAACTTGTTTCATTTATTGTGATACTGAATAAAGAAATTTAATTTGAAGCATTTAATTATGAAAACTTAATTCTTCGAATGTAAAGCCGACTACAGTCAGACCTCCATAATTGCACACCTCTTGGGATCATATGCATAATTTTCAAAATAGTGCATTTAGAGAGGTGCATTTATAGAGGTAAAAATAATTAGAGATTATATAAGCTTTGGACCGAACCAGGAGGGTGCATTTAGAGAGGGTATACATAGTGGGTGCAATCATGAAGAGTGCAATTATAGAGGTCTGACTGTATTATAAATTTCATGTTTTAGTTTAAAATTGCACTATTAGAATATACATAAAAGTTGAATATAGAAGTCAACTCTCTCCGTAAATGCATTTACCATTTATCTTACATGCACTCTGTCTCAATTAGTATTCGGTGGTTTCAATCAAATAAAATTTTCTATCGAATGGCCTTTTCATCGGCGAAAAGATTATTTTTATTTGTACTTTGATTTCTTTCATCATAAAGTTATTTAAATAAATTATTAAATTTAATCTGAAGCATTTAATTATGAAAACTTAATTTTTCGAATGTAAAGATTGATTATACCGATTACAGTCAGACCTCCATAATTGCACACCTCTTGGGATCATATGCATAATTTTCAAAATAGTGCATTTAGAGAGGGTGTGCGTTTATTTATAGAGGTAAAATAATTAGAGATTATATAAGCTTGGGACCGAACCAGGAAGGTGCATTTAGAGAGGGTATACATAATGGGTGCAATTATGGAGAGTGCAATTATAGAAGTCTGACTGTATTATAAATTTCATGTTTTAGTTTTAAAATTGCACTATTAAAATATACAATAAAAGTTGAACATAACAATCAACTCTCTCCGTAAATGCATTTACCATTTCTCTTACATGCATTCTAAGTATAAAATCTTGATTCTAGGTAAAGTTGCTTGTCGAAATTAGTAAATTTCGTCATGTCGAAATTGTCGAAATTATTTTTCTATTTCGTCATTTGCATTTTGGTCAATTTTAATAATAAAATAATTTCATTTCGTCATGTCGAATTGTCGAAATTATTTTTACTATTTCGGCAATGACCTTTTTATTTTCGGCAAGCAACTTTAATTCTAGGCGACAACGTGACTTGGATCGTGTTTACAGTAATAATTATAATTCTGGTAGGAATTACCGTATATATTATGTCAGTAAAATTAAAGGGTTTACATATCTCAATTCTTGATACACGTGATACATGTACAGTACATCTCCTCAGTAAAATGAGTTAACGTTTACAGTTAGTAGAATGTATATTATACATACGAGGTGTTAAGGATTTCAAACTAAAAATATACTTTACTATATATATTTATGTTGTCATTAATGCTTGTTGATAAAAATTTGTATGTGAGACATGTTACAACTATCTTCATCTCATGCGTCATATTAACCAGATTTTCTTTATTTGTCTTAAACGATAAACTTCGTTCATCATTAAATTCTCTTGAAATACAAAACGATCGGAAAAGTTGCAGTTGAAGTATAGAAATTCAACGTCTATAGTTAGTTCTACGGGTTGCTACTTGCCAAAAGTTCTAATCTCTATGCAAGTTCATGATCATTATGACCATTTGAGTTTCCAATGAAATCATATGAAGCTATATTTGACAAGAATTATCCCGTAACACAGTTATATATCATGATCTTTAATATTTGATTCTGTAATTCCAAATATCTTTGTCAGATATAAATCACATCACTAATAGTCTTGGATCAACTCGTAACACGGCCATAAACCATGATCTTTAATATCTGAGTTTGTAATTGTCAAATATCTATGGAAGATATTTATATTCTTTTTATACCCTTCACCAAAAATATTAAAGTATTTTGGAAAGAAATTTTCCATAAAAAAGTTTTTATTTGTAAATAAAAAAGAATAACAAGAAATATGACAGATAAAATAAATAGAAAAGAAAATAAAAGATTATATAAAGCAGACTAATATGAATCTTTGGATACTGTGTATACACTATACATATGTTCGGTATATCAGAAATATATAATTTGTAATTTGGAAATTTTATTGCAATTTTATTGCAATCAAATTTGGCCTCATAATCACTCTAAAACATGTATCGGAGGTTATCAGCGCCAAAAAAAAAATAAATAAAAATTTCAAAATAAAAAAAAAACCCTAAAAAAAAATTCACAATATATACTATATATATAATTTTTGAAATCACAAAAAAACCACCCATAAAATAAAATTATTCTAACCTTTTCTGACTACTAATGTCAGCTAATGTATATCATGATTGATTTTTTATTTGGATCACAAATTCGAAATTTTAAATATATAAATAAATACGTACTTTGAATTTAAAAACTTTTGAAAAAATCGTTAAAATAAATATAACGAAAGAATTGATACCCTATACAAAGTTAAGATACAAAAAAATATCCCAAAAATCCACTAAGAACATACTCAAAATTTTCTATTTTACTACGAACTAAAGCGTATAAAGTAGAAAAATTTTAGTATGTTTTTGGCATATTTTTGCGATATTTTTCTATTTTGACTTCATACAGAGATGCTAATTCGTATAATAAGAAAAATATATATTTGTGGAAAATTGTAGGTAAGGTTGTTGTTGCTCCGGATTCGCTGCCGAATCTGATGATGATGAAGTTATTGGTGAAATCGGGGGAGTAGGAAAATTTTTTTGTTCTTCGAACTTTGAAGATGATGGGGCTGGGGGCACCGATGATTTATCCTCATTGATTAGTTGTTTTGATTTTTTTGCCTCTTTAGGATTATATCTATAATCCTCACCATATCTTTCGATATGTTTTTTTACAGATATTCTTGCTAGAGCCTCGAATAACTCTATTGTTTCCTTTTTCTCATTATCCCACATTTTAGCAATATCTTTTGAAATAAATTTTGATGGTGTCCCGGCAAATTCAGGGCTTATACTTTTATCCCTGCGGTATATGATCCAGGCATTTTGGCGACGTGGAACTTTTTTTACTCCATTTTTTCTATTATAAACAGCGAACCGGGAGGTTTCAGAGTCATTTATGAGAGTTTCTACGGAGCTATTAAACTTGTAAGTTGAATTACGGACAAGTTCTTCATCTGTATTAGCGTTTGTGTGGAGACACAAACCCTTGTTAGGCTGAGGTGGATTTGGAGCTATGTTATCATTCTTATTCATATAATTAGGGCTCCTGAAGACGTGCATATTTTTCTTATGTTTTTGTCTTCTTGGTCTTTTCATGATTTAGCCGTACTAAAACAAAAAATAAATAAATAATGAAAGGCGTTTTGAAGGATAAATAAAATATTGTAGAGCCGTTACAATATCTTTTTCAAAAGAAAACAAGCGATTTTATGGATAAGTTTTTGTGGTACATGTGTTACTTCAACAGTTAACTTCTATTTATACACTTTGTTTTTTTTCCAAAAATCAAATTTAGTTGGTGAAAAAAAAAAAATTCGTAAACGCTCCATAATTTTAGATAATGAATTTTCAACTATGTTTAATGAATGTTCGAAATTTTTTATTCTTTACGCATTTTTTTGTAATAGTAATAGGTTTAATTTCTATTTAACTGTCAACATCTAATCAAAATATCTTTGCACATCATGTAACATAGTGCAAACTTAAAATCGATTTACTTAAATTTAGTAAAGTGGAACTCGGGGTTTTGTCCAAATCTAGTTCTCCTATTGTAGAATTTAAATCTGGATACAAAATTTAGCCCAATAAATCTTATTATTTTCTCAAAGAGTAACAACTTAAGGTTAAACCGTTGAAGATTATGCCTTTACATGTAAATTAAAAATAAGTGCATGGTAGTGCCTATAGAATCATGTTGACGTTTGTCACAATATTGTAAATAAAAATAATAAATATTTATTTTAAATACCTATTGTAAAATTCCCCAAGTAGTACAAGTAGTATTATTTCTAATAATAAAAATGTAAATCATGATCTATAATATAGTATTGATAAATATCAAAAAGAAATATAATGAAATGTTATATAAATATTATTACCGTATTTGGCGGTAATTAAGCACCCCTTTTTTGCACTTAATGCCGGCCAAGATGCTCATAATTCTGGCTGAAATCGCCATAATTCTGGCCGGGTGCTTATTTTTTTGGGGTACTTAATAACAGCAAAATATGGTAATATCTAAGATTTTAAAGCAATATTTTGGTTTCAATATAAAAAATTATTCAAATACTGTAATTAATTTTTTAAGTATTATTCTTTCCGATTAAAATTAAAGTAAAATTTTTATTAAAATAAAAAATAAGTGAAATTTTTTTTATTAAAAAAAAAGTGATTTTGTTCAAATTATTAAAAAAGATATATTATAAAAAGCTAATAAGTATTTCATTGGCTTGTTAATAAAGATGTTAAACTGGTTCTAATTGTATATTGTATGAGCTCAAGTACTTTTATATTACTTTCAACTTCTTATATTAATAAATATTTAAAATTTTAAATTAGCATAAATCATACTTTTCATTATTAATATATTAATAAATTAATATAATAATGTAATTTTTATGAATTAATATTATTATATTTATAATAACAAAAATTATAAATCACACCACTGGTGTTCAACACCACATTAATTATTTTTTTTTTATTATATAATTTTTTTATTCTATATTATTAATAAACTATAAATTAAAATGTTTCCATTAATAAAATATTATAATTCATATTGCAATATTAAATGCTATATAGTATATACTTATATATATATATTTTTAGGTTTTCAATTTTTTTTTATTTTGCAATATTTATGGTATTAAAAAAAAAGTATCAAGTAAACTTTTTTTGACCATTTTTAAGGGTGCTGAACAATTTTAATTAGAGTGACTTCTTTAGTTTAAACTATAGTTGCATATTATAATGTTAAGCACCAGTGGTGTAATTTAGTAAAGTTATATAATAATACTATAAATTTATAATGAAAAGATTTACTACAATTAAATTATTAAATTAATATAGTAATTAATTAATAAAACAAAATATAATATAAATACTAACTTAAAAACAGACATAATATAATAAAAACCTTATATAAAAATGCATATAAGAAATATTTAATAATATACATGATTTAAATAAAAATAGCAGATATTCAATTTTAGTTAATTACTTGAAAACATATAATAACAACACTACTTGAAACTTTAAAGAAAATCTTAGAAATATATTTACAGACCTTCTTTTTAATGAGTACATATACTATATATGTATATATTAAACCATAAGATATATATATGTATTATGTAAATACAGTATTCGAGATTAATTGATTTAATTGGCCATTTGAATCAGGTGGTATTTAATCAAAAACCTAATTTTGGGGTAAGAATTTATTTTGCAAATATAACTCATAATATAAACAAAGCCGCTTTTTTAGATATTTCGTAATTTCCTCTAGTTCCGATAAAGTAAAACCTGTTAAAGTGGAAGGAAATTATCATTAAATAAAAATATATAAATCCGTATCGAAATTTCTGTAAAATGGAATTCTTGTTTTGCTAATTGCTAATTAAGAAATAATTTTTTTTTCGTATTCTTCACTTTAATGGAAAATTCTTTTCCGATTGTTGAACTACATAAACTCATTCATTCATTCTGGTCTTACGATTATTCGTATATTAATATATGTGTATATATATATATTCGAATCTAAGATTATCTTTTTTGACTAATAATTGTACAAATGTACAACACAGGGTTTTAGGATTTTCCGACTTTCCTTCCGAAACCCAGGGTTTAGCCATGGGGTCAAGTGGTTTAGACATTCTAAAACAGGTTTAAAATCAGGTACCTTTTCATTAATTAATGTAAAATTGTCGTTTTGTGTAAAACTTTAGGTATTGTGATCCTTTATTTTGTGCGTTTTTTTAGCCGTTGTGTAAAAAAAACTTAATAATACTTAATAATAAATAAATAGTACAACGATTCTTTTTGGAGTTTTTGGGTAAGTTCAATGTTTTTTTTATCAAAATCTATCTTAACTATTGTATTACGTTGTAATATTAAAAAGGATCTTATTTTCTTTTTTTTTACCTTCACATCAGAGTTTTTCCTGCTCTGATTTATGAAAAAGAATTCAAAAATTTTTTATTACTTTTTTAAAGATTAGTAAATCAAATTAAAAAAAAAAAAAATGTCGAAAGAAGAAGTAAATATAGAACTTAGCAACTCTAATACGGAAAATGTTACCTCGACCACACCAGACTCTACCAAGAAAAGATGGAAAGACCATTTTTCATATCTTTTCTCAGTAGAATTTATTATTATATTGTTACTTGGCCAATTCCTTTCATTTTGTATTACATGTACTATAGTAACAAGTGGCAAATTAGCAGAATATAACTTAATTGCACCTACTTTCCAATCTTTATTGACTTATATTGCTTTATTTCTAATTTATACTCCTATAAACATATACAAGAAAGGATTTAGGGGATATTTAGAAATGCTTAAAACTAGATGGTGGAAGTGTAAGTTTGTCTGATATGTTTGATAATTAATGTTTATTAGGTTATCTGCGGCAAAAGTGTATGTATTATTAATGATAATTTATTTTCTTTTCATATTAGATTTGATTCTCAGCATTATTGATGTTGAGGGAAATTACTTTAGTGTGAAAGCATACGCATATACTTCACTCCTCTCTATAATGTTACTTGACGCATGGTCAACCCCTTGCGTAGTTATATTATCAATTATATTTTTAAAAATTAGATTTCATTGGAGTCAGTATCTTGCTGTGCTAATTTGTTTGGGTGGAATAGCTGTAATAATTGTATCCGACTTTCTTGAAGGGAAAGATTTGCATTCGGGTAAGTTTATTATTTATAGTTTTGGGTTTCTTTTAAAAATTAAACTAAGGAAATTTTTTTTTACTTATCCTTTATAGCAACTAGACCAGTATTGGGGGATATATTTTGTTTACTAAGTGCTACTTTCTATGCTATTTCTAATGTAACGGAAGAATACTTTGTTAGAAAACGTCCATTGTATGAAGTTATAGGTCAACTCGGTTTTTATGGAAGTATAGTCAGTGCTATACAATTGTAAGTTATAATGAATGTGATCAAATGAATATGTTTAAATATGTAATTAATTTGTTCAATTTTTTTTTCTTTAAAGAGCGGCATTGGAACGAACAGAATTAGCCGGTGTAATTTGGAACGGAGAACTTGGTAATTACATTTATTTTATTTTATTTATTCATTCCAAAAATTTTGAGACTTAAATCATTTTATTTTTTTAATTTATAGTTGGAATCCTTATCGCCTATACTATTGTTATGATTCTTTTTTATACTGGAGCTCCAATACTATTCCGTTTGTCTTCTGCAGCATTCTTTAATCTTTCTTTGTTAACGAGCGATTTTTATAGTTTAACTTTTGCTATTTACTTATTCCACGAAAAGGTAATATATCTATATTTTGTTTTATACACGCGTTTTTCAGTAATAACTTTATTTATTTATTTTATTGTCGTATTTAGATGTACAGATTATATCCAGTTGCATATGTTGGAACAATGTTAGGTCTTATAATTTATCATATTTATCCTGCTACTAAACCAAAAATTAATGAAGACAAAGATAACGATGAACAAAATAAAGAAGAAGTAAAAGATGAAGTAAAAGGAGAAACAAAAGGAGAAGCAAGAGATAAAAGTGTGGAAACTGCCGTATAATTTAATTAGTATATTATATTTATTTAATTTTATATATTATAATTTTATATATTATAATTTGTATTTGTATAAATATGAAGGCGCAGATAAGAAAGAAGCTAACGAGATTGTAAATTAAATTACGTTTATCATAATAATAATTGTATTTGTATAAATAAATAATTTGTAATAAAGGCGCAGATTACGTTATAGTTATTATTACGCTTGTATTACACGCAAATTCCTTCTTTCATACGTTTATCCGATGTAAATTTCACAAAAAAATTCCTAGATCTATTATTCGAAAATATTACATATATACTTATATAGTTTAAGATGTGATGATCCCAACATGATTGGTGGAATTTTACACTGACGTTCAAAAAATCATAACCAATCGTACACTGTCCTCTGTGAATTATGAAGAATATCAAGAATATCTTCGATTATCTATCGTTTTTTTACTTCATAGATAAGTTTTTTTTTTTAAAAAAAAACATATGGAGATTTTAATTATTAATTAATATATAAATCAATTCCTTTAATGTTTGTAGGTATTATTGTTTAAGTAAACACATATCAATATTGTATTAATATTTGAAATACAAGATAAATTTTTAAATGGCATGAAATCTATAAATGGGTTATTTGACTTGTCAAAGTATATATTTATGCATGTAAATGTTTTTCACAAAATTACCGAATAAGTGAAGATCTACTGTCGAGAATTCTTTATTTATATTTTAAATTTTTTTCGACCAACGTAATTTATATTTTTGTAACAAGGATTATCATTATTCGATATATATATACATTAAAATAAATTTTGCATACGTTTTTTTTTTATAAATAAAGGAATAAAGGAACTTAATTAAAAAATAAGCCAAATATTTCGATAATTTTTTTTTTTTTAAAAAAAAAAAATGACTCGTTCAACGGTTTCTGTTAATATTAATGAAATGTCGGGATTTGTACAATATTATGTTGTAATAATTTGCTTTTTCTTTTTCTTGGTATCATCCATTTTGATACCAGGAATTTCCTCTCAAAATTTACCTATGGATCAATGTGTTACTGGATTTAATGCTGATAATGATTATTTCCCTGATAAAGTTACTGGTAAGTTTTATACAATACCTTGAATTCTTTGTTTTAAGAGACAATACCTCAATACCTTGAATTGTTTTAAGAGATAATACCTTGAATGTTTACATTATTTTGAATTTTAATAATAAATATTTTTTTCTTAATAACTAATTTTTATTTAGTTGAAACGGCTACTATGTTTAGTATCAACTATTTCAAGAATTATAAGCTTGTTACTAATAAACAGACAAATGAAATCTTTGCCCTTTATCAATGTGGAACTCCTATTCCTACTAATCTTCCAACAGGTGCCAAACCAATTCAAATTTCCGTAAAGAATGTCGCTGTAACTGATACCAGTGCAATTCCCTTTCTTGAAGTATGTTACACTGCACGTGATATTTGTTTACTGTGTGTAACTTCATCACTAAATTTTTAATTTATTAAGTTACTCGGACTTCGGTCAGCAATTAAATTGTTGGATACCTCGGATTTAGTTTCTTCGCCATGTATACAATCAGCAAAAAATTCTGGCACGATCACAATTCTTACCAATAATCAAACTCTTAATGATATGGCATTGGCTGGTGCAGATGTATCATTTGGAGCATTTGAAGCGAAACCAACTGATCAAAAATCTATTTCTATTGCAACAGCATCAGATCCAGGAATTCTCAATAGGGTTGAATGGTTAAAATTTTATTCAACATTTTTTAATGCAGAATCAAAAGCTAATGAAGTTTATGGAAAAATAAAAACAAATTATGAATGTTTAAAAAATTTGGCAAATAAAAATGCAAAATCAGAAAAACCCATCGTTGCTTGGATAATTTTTGATGCCCCATCAGATTTTAATCAAAATACTCCTTCATGGAAGATAGCCGATGCGGTATTTAAGAAACAATTAACTGAAGATGCTGGTGGATCCTATTTTAATGCTACTCCTTTATCTTACGCCACTTCAGCCGATTTCCTTAAAGCAATTCAAAATGTTGATATTGTAATCGATGAAACTTTTATTGGTTCTAGTATAGCTGATTTTTATAGCCATTTTGGTTTAACGGCCGACCAACAACAATATAAGTTTGTTAAAAATCAAGCAATTTATCGTGAAGATGGTACGACTAATCCAAATGATGGTAGAGATTGGTTGGAAAATGCTATTGCTATGGGTGACGCTTCGCTTGAAGATATGATTAATGTTATTAATCCTCAATTGCCTAAATCTGATTATAATCGTATTTGGTTAAGAAATATTGCTAAGAATGAACCGATTAAAATTTCTTCCGCTACAAATTGTACCAATCCTGATCAACCTTTAACCGTAAGTATTAAAATTTTTTTTTTTTTTTTAAAAAAAAAAAAAAATAGTAAAGTATAATATATTAAAAAAAAAACTACTTTTTTTCTATAGAGTAAAGCTGGTGAATGTGCAGCTCTTTCTGCCAAAGGAACGGGAGCCATTTCTTCAACTCCTACTTTCTTCTCTTGTTTTATTGCGTTTATTTTCGTCACCTTTGTAACATTATTTATTTAACCTTCACTTTATATCTTCATGATTTTATGTATATTTATTTAATTGTAATTTTAGTTATATTTATAATAACACGTTTGTTTTATACAAGTTCTTTAAAAGTTAGAATACCTGTCCAAAAAAAAAAGAATTTAAATTTTGTAAACAATAAAAATATGTAATGCTTTATAAATTTAAACTTTAATGAGAATAAAGTTATTGTGAGACGCGTTAGTATTAAACCACCTAATGTAGAAATTTCCAATGCTATGTACTGTTTATGTGAAGTGATTTCGTCGATCCATGTAAGTTGATGTATATACATTTATTAAAAGCAGCAACTTTCTTATCATCGAAGTTTTTTCATTTTCCATTCTTTTGTAATAATCTCTTTTGTTAAAACCATGTCTGTTCCAGAAAACCTTCTTTTTACATCGACCCTTATTTCACCTGAAGTTCAGGCAGCTTTACCTAAAGGTTATAGTATTCGACCTTTATCTAGTGATGACTATGAACGCGGTTTCCTTGACGTGCTTTCTGTTCTTACAGTCATAGGAAACATCTCTAAAGCTCGATTTCTCGGTATTTATGACGTGTTTAATTTACTGTTATAATGTTATGCAATTATTTCTTTTTTTTTTTTTGGAAAATAACTTATATATAAATTTCTATATTAGAACGTTTCTTTTACTTGAAAGCGCATAATCACGAATATTTTACTCTCGTAATTGTTTCTCCCGAAAACCGTATTGTTGGGGCTGGAACAATATTCATAGAACGAAAATTCATTAGGAACACTGGACTTGTCAGTTAACTATAACTTTAAAATCTTGATTTTCGGAGAAAGAAATCATTTTGATATCTTAAATCTTTTTTTGTATTTTATTTATAATATAGGTTGGACATATTGAGGATATTGCTGTTGACAAAAATCAACAAGGAAAGAAACTTGGTTTAAGGTAAAATAATATTGAAAAGAAATCATTTATTCTTTTTTTTTTTTTAGATTATTAACTCATGTTTTTATTTGATTTCATAGGGTTATTCAAGCCCTCAAGTATATTGGAGCTAAAACTGGATGTTATAAAGGTAACTTTTGTTCTTATTTTTTGGTTTGGTGTTAAACATTTTACTTATGATCACAAATTCTCTTTTTTTTTTTTATTTTACAGTCATATTGGATTGTTCTGAAAAGGTAAGATAAATAAATTAGAATTCAATTATGTTGTAAGTGATATAATACTCAAATTTCTTTTCATTTATAGAACGTTCCCTTCTATGAAAAATGCGGGTAGGTTATTATCAAATTGTCTTTAGATTCCGATGTTGTCGTTTATTAATTTATAATTATTTAATTGAACAAATAGATTTCAAAAAAAAGAAGTTGAGATGGCTTGGTATTGTGACGATAACTCTACAAAAGCTAAATTATAAACGTTTACTTCTTTCTTTCCCGTTATTTATTTATTTATATATTTATTTAGAAGATAGATTGTATTTGTAAATTATAAATGCAAAAATATATTTATTAAATACTTTAATTAGTATAATATAAAAATCATCCATATTTTACAAAATTACGCGTTTTCCTATTTCTTATATGGAAATCCAAGAGATACATTTAACAATTGTATTCGTTATGTGATAATAAATATACATAATAACGGGGGACCGTTGGAGCTAATTTAATCTAACAGTATATATATTTTTACAAATAATGTAACCGCTTCAGACGCGCAAAAATTATGTAATATGTGGTTCTATAGTGTTCTATAATTGCATCACAACGATTGGTTTGCTGGTAGTTCCGAAGTGAAATTAGAACGAATATTTTCAGTTTTGGTTTTGGGTTGCTGCAAAAGCAGTGAACTGACTTTCTAATGAAGCAAGTTGACTTTTCATAACAACAATTCCATTTAAAACAGCATTAATTTGATTGTGATTATTAACAGTACCACTCTCTATTCTATCCAGAAATTCATTCATTGCTCTATTATCTTCTAATATTATCTCTTCACCCCTTTCTCCATTTTCTCCAAAAGTAAGTCAATGCAAAGCTTAAATCTGTGATGTTGGAATCAAGCATATGGTTTAAAATTTCGAATTCTCCCTTAATCTTATTGGCATGTAAATACTTTCTTAAAACTTTAAGTTGCGTTACTTCATTTACAAAAGTTTTTATTTTCCTTAAAGTATCAAGCAGCCTAATTAAACCTTGGTAGCATTTTTGCTGTCGAAAATAATCTAAATTTTTTTTTTTGTTGAGAAGAAATAGGCTTTAATGCAGAACTAATTGTTTGAACGCGATCCATTAATGAAACGATTTCTCTTTTGTTATTATTTCTAAATCGAACAATTCTCTTGTTATTTTAATATATTGTTTATTTGTACAATAGCCAAGAGTGGGATAAAGTAATGTTCCCAGCATATACCAATTTATTATTACCAGTTGTAGTTCCGACTTCCAATAGCCGCCATAATCCTTTCGGATACTCTTGAAATTAAGTCACTAATGGGACTGTTGTGGAGTTATATATACCAATAGTTAAATATGTTATCGAATGCTCCTTTGTTTTCAGTGTGACCATTTCTTTTTTTGTTGGAATCCTCTAATCCCAAATAATAAAACTTGACTGGTGACTGTGTTGACTTCTTTCCAAAATAATTTGCACGGTAAACTAGGAACAGAAATAGTTTAGTTTATTCGATAGTAAACTCATGGTACTCATGGTACAATATGATTGGTAGAAGACGCGGCGCGACAGACATCATGCAGATCAGATTTCTCGAACTATCAAAAAGTCGTGACATGTCAGAGAAAATACACCTAATTTCACTTCTACTGCGACGTTCACATTGGCAAATGGCGAAATTAGAAAATATAATAGAGAACTTTAGGACAGGATCTAGACATCAAAAGATTCGACATTTTTCGTAATAAAAGGTTGAGTTTCCTCGAGACAAGAGAGACGAGCGTTGTGAAATGAGTATCATAAAGCTTCGGCTTTCGCTAAAGAGTGTGGTCATTCTCCTCATACGAGACTCTAAAGAAGTGTTAACTAAGTATTAGGCTGTAGAATTTAATTAGCATCCATATCAAATTGAACAAGTAAGTTTTTTATCTTAAAATCTCTTGAGATCTTGCCAGATTTCCATCAACCCTTGTTTATGTAAAGATATTCATAATTGATGATGGGTGATGTTATATAAGGATATATGACTCATTATAAGCAAACAGTTTTTTGATAGTAGCGAAGCGAAATATATCCATATTGTCAAAACTGAAGTTTCTTTATGAGGAAAAACAGACCGTTTTGATTATGTTGTGATCAAAGCTCTCAAAGAATTACCTTTTATTACAAAGGAAAAATAGCATCAAATTCATTTTTAGTTTCCGACTCATGACTACTACGCTTGGCTACAGCCGGCAGCAATTTGATGGGCTTTTTTTTATTGTTTATATTCTAATTCTATATTTTGAGATTATTGAAGTATTTATTCAATTATCATTACTAACTTTCAACCGTATTTATATTGAATTGGTATGAAGAAATACATCAAGAAAAGCGTGGCAATTTGACCTGAATGATCTATATGTGAAGAAGATTGAATGTCGTGAAATATATGATATGCTATTAGAGTGGAACATGGACTAATTAATCAAAACTATATCAACAACACTGATTAATTACTACGTGAAGCTATAAATCGATTAAATAGACTATTTAATATTTTTTAATATAAATTTATTATGAATAAATTCAAGACTCTAAAAATTCCTTGCAAATATTGTGTTCGCAGGATCTTGTGGCAACATAGTGGTATCATTCGCGGGCTTGAAATTGTTATGGTTGCTGGTGGTGACAGGGGCGGCTTGTTACGATTGTAGGTGACGATATAGCAGTATCAGTCGTGGAAGTTGGAGGCACTGATGTAATAGTAGTGCCAGTCGGCACTGTTGTAATAGGTGATGGCAATGTAGTGTCAGTAGTGGGAGTTGGAGGATCCGGAATTGTCAATGTAGGGGGTGATGATGATAACTTAATCATAGTAGTGTCATTTGTTGGAGTTGGAGGGTCCGGATTTGTCGGTGATGGTAACGTAGACATTAGTATTATCAGTGGTGAGAGTTGGAAAGCATGGAGAAAGATCGAGGATTTGCCCTCATACATAATCATTTGAGTTATTTTTTTTCTTTTTTTTTTAATAATTTCTTCGGGGTCCAGGAACATAAATCTGTAATCTTCATGCGTGGTTGTTGGAGGCACTGATATAATAGGTGATGGCGTAGTGTCAGTTGTAGAGAGATTGAGAATTTTACCCTCTTGGGTTATTTTTTTTTTCTTTTTTAATTTTTTCAGGCGCCCGGGAATATATTTATAATCTTTATGCTCCAATTCATGGGTTCTTTCGGCAATTTTCGCTAGGACTTCAATAAGTTTTTTACTTCCTTTGGTTCATTTTTCCACATAATGGTCAATACAAGTGATGATTTTTGTCCAGAAAAATTTTTGTTAGCGCTCTTGTCCCTTCTATAAACTATTCAGGGACGTTTTTCAATTCTCTTTTGGTCAAAACCTGTTCTTAAGAACTATATCAAGTGTTTTATGTTTTTTTAAAAAAATATTTAAAAGAAATTGTGTTGGTTGATGTACAATGTCCGTGAAGCTATTGGTACACAATATCCATCATTAACTTATATTAGATTAGAAGAATATATTTGTATTCCTTTAACAATCTTATCTAAATTAATTAATTTAAAATGCTACAAAGATATTAAAAATAGTTTAGTAAATTATTAAAGAAAATATGCAGATCAAATTTTTAAAGTTTTATAAAGAGAAATATTTTATTCTTAAATCATCTATAAACTTGGCATAAAGTTTTGAAGGTAAATTTACATTCTCATAGAAAAAATGCTAAAGATTTCAAAAGAAAAATTCAATCATATAAAAAAAACAAAGTTTCTGTAAATATTAAATTATTGATCACAATTATCATTAAATATTTGTCATTTAAATGAAGAGTATGGTAAAAATTTGCATAAAACAAATTTAAATAAGTTAAACTAACTTATAAATTTGATTATTTTTTTAAAAAAAATGAAAGTTTTAAATAAAATTAGGTAAAATTCAATTATTAAATCCAATTGAATTTTTATAGTCCAATATTTTCAATTATATTATATTACTTGTTATTAATCAAATATTATTTATTATATTATGATAAACTATGAGAAATCACTATTTAATGAATTTATAAGGCAATTATAATTAACATGTATTTTTTATTTTATTAAATTTTATTTAAAGTCATTATCTGTACAAATAAATGAACCATTATAATTATATTGAATTATTTACTATATAATTATGAATATTATTTTTATTATCAATTTCATCAATTTCTTACTATTAGTATTATTATTCACTAGATCAATATATTAATATAAGAATTTTAGCAATCCTAAATAAATAGCTAGTAGAAAGTAGAAATTATGATCCTTGCTGAGAATTTTTAAGTTATAATTAGATAACTGCATAAAGAAATACTTTATCAAAAAGCAAAAGGCAAATCATTATATTAAAAATATTATGAAATCAAATACAATATTAATCTAACATTAACAAAGCAAAAAAATTTTACTGAAAACTTTATTGGTGATCACGTGCTTATCGATCATTTTGTAGTGGCTTATTTAGCATTAAGTCAGAAGAATGTACATTACTGCGCTGCATGCGCGGCCTCTGGTTCGAAATTTCATAGAATTAACCAATGTATATATATATATTTTTTTATCACAGTCATGTACAATTGCTTATTGGTTGTGTACGCTTATCAATGAAAAAAATCTTAAAAAGTATTTAAGCAATGAGGCTTTGTCTCCTGCCAACATCGGAGCTTGTATTTTTAACGATTGTGTAGCGTGATGTGGGTGTGTAACTGTGCATCGGAAAAATGCGCTCATTCTAATTTTTCGGGAGGTCTTCTCAGAAATCTAATAAAATAACACATTATGCTGCAAAAAGTCAAAGTAATCATTAATTATGGTTAAAAATCTTAAATCTAAAATGTTGCCGAAACACTATGTTACAGTACGTTTGTTAATTCATGATGCGAATTAATCTGATTCTTTCGCTACTTCTATTTCAAGTTCTGGTTTTGGTTCTAACTTAGCTTTGAATTAAATTCCCTATAAATTAAGTTCATAATTCCTTTCTATATTGTGCAGGTTCTGTATGATATGCATTAACGACAAATATTAAGACGAACATCTTCTGCCAATTTAACCTTGACTTAATTTATGGACGAGCCTTTCGAGCCTTTATGAGAGTAGTATCATTCGGAAAATCAAAGAATTTATATATAATAAAGCAGTGAATGTTACATTTTACCCTTCATGTATCCAATGCATGATGACATATCCATAGGGAGTTTGAGATGGCAATGCTTATTATTTACTATTTATTGTTTCATCCGTTTGATCTAGGTTGAAACCCTATTTATCACGCGCTATATGTCACTGGTCGTGTGAGATGAGTAAACGGTTACTGAAGTTTGGTAAATTTTTCTTTTTTGGTAAAAAGATAAATCTGCATAATAAGCTAAAACTACAAAGTGCAATACGTTACACCAAAATTTTCTAAAATTTATTTAAAGCCACGATTTACTGTTCGTTTTATATTATCAATTCTATATGTCATTATGGAAGAAAATTATTTTGCCTTCACATGGAAAATAAACTGCTTTAATGAACTCGTTGTTCGACACCCGAACGGAAGTTTTTTCTATAGTGATAGGTTTTGGTCACCGAGAGGACAAGGTGGAAAGTCAATTAACATCAATGTCGTAAATGAACAAAACAGTTCTCATAACAATACCGGATATTTATGGCGGTTAAAAATGTTCCCTAATGGTGTAGATAAAAAATCGAATGACTATATTTCTTTATATCTTGAAGCAATACAAACTCATTACGAAAAACAAAATAACATAACAGGAAGGCAAAAAAAGTTTCGACTAGCGCTTTATCGAGTCGATTCGAATTTGCAAACAACAAAACAAAAACCTTCACTTGTAATAGATCGTCATACTTTAGAGACGAAATTTGAGTTCAATGGAGTAAATGCAGATTATGGATTCGCAAGAATAATTGCTCTTAAAGAATTATTCCCTAGCGATAATACGCCCGAAATAGACTTATTGGTTCGAACTCAAATTTTTGAAGACACTATGACTTCTGGGGAAGGTCCAAGTTCAATGGTCATTGTAAATAATATTTCACTTATGCCTTTTGAAAGATACTTTGGAGAAGAAAGATTTTGTGATGTTGAATTTATATTTGATTGTGGTTCAAGTATGAAAGCTCATAGAGTTATTCTTGCTGCACGATCAACATATTTTGAGAGTATGTTGGGAGGTGAATGGTTAGAGGGACATATGAAAACTGTTACTATTAAAGATATGCCATTTGATGCGTTTAGATGTATTGTCCATCACCTTTACACTGGAAAACTCGAAGAAGGATTAACGTTTGAACTTTTAAGAGATATATATTCTAAAGCTGATATGCTTAGAGTAGAACAACTTAGCCAAATGGCCGCTGAAAGGATGGTTAATTTAATGAATCATGAAAATTGGGATCAAATTTTAATGTTAGGCTGGAAATATTTTGATGATCGATTAAAAGACGCAGGTCAAGAATTTGCTGTAAAACATTGGATTGAAATAAAAGATACCGACAATATGAAACAAGTAATGGCAAGCGGCCACGTTGATCGTATTGTAGAATTGGTTTTACAAAGTTTTTTTACACCAAATAATGCGAGGATAGGTGAGTGACTTGTTTTACATACGAGATTTTAAGGACACTATTTAAGAAACTATATATATTTGACACCAATTTACAATATAAACATTATGTTACAGAATTATAATTCTTCCTATTCGTTAAAATGTTACGACAACGAGAGAATAATACCTTCTATTTAGCAGTGATTCAGTGATCTTTTTAGTAAGGCAAAATTTGGATAAATAAGAATTGATACCAATCCCTTTATGATATGCAAAAAAAAAAAATATTAACAAATAAAAAAAAAAATATGAAAATAATTAATAATAAGTAATTACTTTCTTTAAAGGATTGAACTTCTACTGTATATTGTATAATTCAATAAAAAATATTTTAAAAACAACTGTACGCCACTATTTTCCGGTGCTACGTGACGTAATATGTTAAACATACGACACGTGCATAGAAAACATTCTAACACTAATCTAAAAACTTTTCTCCGGAAAATCGGAAAATTATAAATTTTGTATAGAAACAAAGAAACAAATTTACCATATTTATGATGCTTTATATGAAGAAACAATCAAACAGTGTATTTTTTGAAGTTGTATAAGATCTACTTAGCGACAGAAACAACGGCAAAAATAGTATCAAAGTTGAATACCTTGGCAGATTTAGGTGCCTGCCAAAATGGGTATTTTTTTTGCGCACTAATTTATTTTGAGAAATTAAAAAATTAAATTAAACAATCCTTTTATATTGCAAATAGAATACTAGCATCTCAAGAATTTTAGAATAGAACTATGTGGCATGTTTCTCTATTATTACTTGAGAAACATGATCATCTTTTACATCATACGTTTCATGCTTGCGGATGATCCTCAAAACATCAAAAGAACTTGCTGTTTAGTGAGCAAGAGAACATTATTAGCTTGGCATCTATTGTCTTCAATGGGTCTTAAATTATCAGTCTCAATATCCATATGGATGCTTTTAATATCAAAGATAAGGAACGGTTAGTTGTAGTTTATCCTTTTGGACTAAAGCTTCATTTTAATATGCGCTTCTTTTGGTGGAAATGTTAAGAAGGTCCTGTGAAACAAGATAAGCTACCTCTGCATTTATTGCTTGAGCTGAAATCTAATTCCTTTTATAAGATCAGGAAGTGTATGTATAAATTAGTAATTTATTGAATAGGTGTAAAATTGCTAATATTTTTTTTTAATTGGATCACTTGGGTGTTTATAAAGGTGGTCTTTTGAATCACAATGAAGGGATGATAATTATCCAAAAATGGTTTTAGAACAATCGGGTGGTGATGGTATTTTTATTTTCTTATTATTTATTATCAATGTGGTAATTTGCTTTTTTTATTGTTATTGGTAGTAACTTCAATACTTTGTTAATTTAAATACAATCTTTATCTCTGGAAAATTAAATAAATATTAATTTATATTTGTTTTATGGATAAGCTTAATATGTAATCTTACACTACATATTTTGATAATTTATTTTTATTGCTTCTTGATACATCATAATAACTATTTATTCCAATTAGTTTATAAACGGAGGTACATTTATGATGTGTTTTTTTTTTGTAATATTATTACTGTTTTAATTTTTATTCATTCTCTTCTGATTTAGCGACGCTTAACTACATAAAAAATGATTGATATACCCAGAATAAAAAAGCAGACCTTGATAGTTACAAGATATTTAATGGGTTACAGATGATAAGAAATTACCATTTGTTGAAGAATCACAATTTCCTTAAATAAATTAGTTATTTATTTTATTCTATAATAGCAGTAACAGCATATCCATAACTGCGGAACTTACTTGTAATACAATAATTTTTTACGAAACCATTTTGTGTTTACATAAAACATTTTTAATCTACATTTTGAATATCTATATCCATATTTGTACATATGTTATAGGATGTCAAGTGTACGTTTTCGAGTATAAAAGTCGCGAGTGCACTAGGTTTGAATGGAGGTTTATGATACCACTGTGCTTCACGCAGACAATCTAAATAAATTTCTCGCGTTTTCTCTCCTGTATACAAGGAAAGTGGCACCACAGTGAAATTTGATAGTAAATAGCTCAAAAGTAACCTAGCCACTCTCCCATTTCCATTCATGAAAGGATGAATATACAAGAAATGAGCAAGAAAACATGCACCAAACTTGATAGCTTCTTCTAATTCCAAATCCTCCTTAAAATCTTCTCGACATTGACGGAACAGTTTTTTTAACTCTTTCTCTATCAATTCTGGTTCCATGTAACAAAAATCATCTTGGGCTGGCTTTACAAATTTTGTTCTATATTGACCCGCATTTTCAATCAATCCGTTGCCGCCAACCTGTTGATGCAACTGCTGTGCGAATGATGGTGTAAAGAGATCCATTGGAAGGTTGGGAAAGAAGATGGATGGGAATATGCCTTTAACAGTATTATGGAGATTTTGGACTTTTTTAGCTAATCGCAATAAATGAGGGTCAGAATTAGTTTCGTTCCTCAACAGTTGTTTTACAGTTTCGAAGTCTATATCGCTTTCCGCTGAAATACATTCGACTAAATAACGTTCTTGATGAAGTTCAATATATCCTAAAATGAGTTCAGTCTCTCCCTCAACGGATGATGATATGACTTTTTGGAGGCGCTTGATTTCTGAGATGTAATACTTGACATTGCGTTCATCATATTCTAGTTTCCACCAAGGTTGTTCCAAGAATTCAAAGTTGGAATGTATCAAGGCCATCTCGTGTGAAAAAAAACGAAGTTTCTCGCAAACGCGTAAACACGACTAAATGTGGCCATATGCACTATATGCAGCTGGTCTTATGCGTATGCAATATTTCATATAAATACATATTTTTTAAAATACATTATTTTCACAGAAAAGTATTTTATTATTTATTACAAATGGTAGATGAAAATATGATGGCAACTTATTTTTTGGGTGGTACTTTAGAAATAAAAAAATAAAATCATCAATTTACGATGAAACCTGCCTCTTTTTCGGAAATAACTTTTTATTTACTACGAATGAAAAACACGATATGAATCAATCAGATGAAATTTTAAAAAAGAATTTGACACTAGATAACTATCTAAAAATGATGTAACCTAAGTGAGAGACTTATTTTTGAGCATTGGTGACTCAGCCTCAACTTTTTTTTAACTTCTCCCTTAAAATGCTGTTAATAGGTTCTAATTCTGATATTTCATTAATAGATCAGTTTTACTAGTTTATTTTCCTTGATTTTTTTTATTGGTAGAAAAAACAAGGAAGCTTTCTTTTAATGATCGTTTAGTAGACAATTTATCATTTGTTAAATCAATGACGAATTCTTTGGTTTTTTTTGTTTGCATGATGAAATTTTACAAATTTGATAATTTATATATACACCTTTGCATTGAAAATTCTTACTTGCCAATTGTTTATACTGAGCAAATGTCTATAATACTAGCCAGAATTCATGAAAATATACTAATATCTTCTGAAATCATTTAAATATAATTTGAGTTTTTTTACTCATTCAGAAAGTATACATATATTAATTACTTAATTATTTAAATGTGCAATACGTCAACAGATTCTTTGATTAACTGGAAATCTGGAATGTTAATTCTCATCAATCTAATATAATCAAGTTGAAGTAGAATTTACTGTATTTCCATTATCACTAATTTATTATTTGAACATATTACTTAATATTCAAAAAATAAGTAAAAAACAAAGCATTTATAATGATTAATCAATTTTTAAAAACTTTAAAAAATTCTATTACGATAATTCCATATCTTGCGATATTTCGACTTCATTTTCCTCCTCCTCCTCTTCCTCGTCATCTTTGCTTAAACGTACTCGTTTTACTGTTGATTTTCCTTTAAAATCAGTTTTTCCAGTATTTTTCTTATCACTTCCAACCTTCCATAATTCATTTGGTTTCAATGAAGAAACAGGTTCAAAGGATACAACTGCACGATGTGTATTTCGACGTGTTACTTTAAGAAAAAATAATAATTATAAACATCAATTATTTGATATTCGATGTGATGCTGTAATATTATTAACAATGTAAAACTACTTACTTGCATGCATAACTACAGCACGACAATTTGTCGATATACAATCTTTTGCCATTGCTTGATTCATTCCCATTATCGTACCTCTATAAGAATCATGTATTTCAATACGCTATAAGTAATTTGTAATAAACACATAAAATCCTAAATAACTTACAAGTTAACAATATCATATGGACCACGTAATTCCATTGCTCTTTGTGCTTCACTAGTAATTATTATATTTTTTCCACGTGTTACTCTAACCAAACTCTGCGCGTTGGATATAAGTTGTCGACGTGATGCGGAATCTACATATAAATTCATTAATAAATTATAAAAAATATATCATGAAGGTTGAATGACAAACCTCTTATTGCAGGAGCGTAACAAATTTCAAAATACACTCCACGTTCAATCGCTAATCCAACAGGACCATGTTTTATATAAAATGGTAAACGTGATCCCATTTCAAGTGATACAATATCTACTTCTAATGTTCCACATACATTTTGAAATATTTTTTCATTTGTTGGTTGAGCCGCAACTATATCATAAGATGAAATTATGCTATTTGCAGATGACTTTATCACATTTATGCACATAAAGGAAAGATTATTAAAGATAAATTTATATTTAGGAATAACTTCTTTGAAAACAAAAATAGTTTAATTGCTATTATTTTTACCAATCCATAATTCTGACTTGCATCTTCTATTACAACTGTAATACGCGACAATTGCTCGATTTTTTGTTGTTGACCTGAAGGTGAATCGGGTGAATTATTGTAAGTTTCAAATTTATGAATTGGGTTTGCCTCTTGTAGATTAAATTGATGAAATAAATAAGAATAATAATAAAAATTTTTTTTATTTCTTAATTCATTTATTCCAAATTTTTTTTTTTTTTTTAAAAAAAAAGGGGCTCACTCACTTTATCTAATTTTCCGGTTACTGTATGATTATATGCAACAACCTGATATCCGACTTTGTTGTTATATTTAAAGTATCATTTATCATTTAGTAAAAAAAAAAAAATTTAGTTATTATACAAGTTCAATTTGATTACGAATTTAACAAACTTTGAAAATTCACATTTTATGAGCAAATCTACTCTTTTACGAAGTTCAGTTTGTTGTTGTGCCAGATTTGGCTGCGTAGGATAAGGTAAATTTAAGTCATAAAACATTTTCTATTTTGAAAAATTTGAAAAAAAAAATTTCAAAAAACCAATTTTTATACATAACGATTATCCTTTGTTGGCCCGTGCGAAATTGTGTAACAGAAAACAAATTCATTAATTCGCACGTGCTTGGATAAGCCACCAATTTGTTAGTTTTACTGAACAAAAGATAACCAAAATGTCAGATCAAGAAATAAAGACTGGTAGCAAACATGAAAGAGAGGAAGAGGAGGAGGAAGAGAAACAAGACCAAGAAGAAGAAGAAGGTTAATATTGATGATTTGTCAATAGATCTTTGTCGAATCCTTGAAAAATTTTTCTTAATCCAATTATTTATTACTAGACATCGGACCAGCTATACCAATAGCTATTGAAACACCAAAAAAGAAAAAACGAGGTATTCGATACTGATATATTATGTGTTCGTCATTTTTACATATCGTAATATATATATTTCCAAATATAATTAATTGTTAGAATAACTCGTAGTTCTAATGCACGAACGAACTTATTTGGAACGTTTGCCTTCGGCTGATATGTATGAACGTAGTTATATGCATCGTGATGTTTTAAGTTTTGTGGCCACCACAGCGTAAGTTTATTTATCATTGAATCTTAATTGCTCTTATAATTATATTAACATTAATGTTATTTTATTTTTAAGAACGGATTTTATAATTACAACATCAGTTGATGGACATTTGAAATTTTGGAAAAAGAATGATAAAGGAATTGAATTTGTGAAGCATTTTCGCGCACATATCGGTATTTATCTTGTACCATCTGATAGGTTCGCTTGTTGGATGATGATTTTTTTTAATGCGATTCATAACAATTTGTCTTAGGAAATATCACTAGTATCAGTGTTTCTGCGGATGGGTTGTTATTAGCAACTGGTGCGGTAGATAAAGCATTAAAAGTATTCGACGTAGTTAATTTCGGTGAGTAATACAATTTGGAGTCGTTTTATTTATAATCATGTAGATTAAGATTTTAGTGATCTTTCTATAGACATGATTAATATGATGAAATTGGAATATACGCCAAATAGTATCTGTTGGGTTCATAAACGAGGTCAAGCTCAGACATTATTAGCCAGGTAAATATCATCGACCTTTTATAATTGTATAATAAATATTAATCGTTATACTATTTTTTTTTCAGTTCTGATGACGCCGGCAACATTTTTATCTATGATGGTCGAGGTGATGAACAACCCCTACATAAAGTTCCAAAGTTACATAATCATCCGGTTCACTTGATGACAGTAAGTTTTCAAATTCGAAGATTTATATATATTATAAGCCTAATAATAATTTTACGTTTAAATTATCTAGTATAATGAGAAGGATCATACGGTTTTATCTGCAGATACATCAGGAATGTTGGAATATTGGGTACCAGAAGAACCTTTTGGCTTGCCCAAAACAGTATCATTTGAATTCAAATCTGATACAGATCTTTATGAATTCAAAAAAATGAAAACATCTCCGACATCAATGACATTTTCTCCGGATTACAAACAATTTGTAACAACAAGTATTGGAGATCGTCAAATACGAGTTTTTAGATTTAAAACCGGAAAGATGATTCGAAAGTATGATGAGTCATTATCGGTTATAAGTGAAATGCAGCAGGTATGCTAGAATGATAAAATGTAATTATGGTTAAATATAATTTATTATATTTAATTAAATATCGATTCTTTAATGAAATTAGGCTGGGACTGCTATATATAAATTAGATGATATGGAATTTGGTCGTAGACTTGCTGTAGAACGTGAATTAGAAAAGACTTCACTAGCATCCACGATGAATGCAGGTATATTAAATAGAGTGATATCTATAGAGTGAGAACATTTTTCAAGCTATAGTTATTGATTCTTTTTTTTACATTTATAGTTTTTGATGAAAGTAGTAACTTCATCATTTATCCTACACTGCTTGGTATCAAGAGTAAGTAAGAAGTACGAAAATAGATATTATAAAAATAAGAAACAATAATTTATATATATAATTTTTTTTTTCAAGTTGTCAACCTAACGACAAATAAGGTGGTTAGATTAATTGGTAAAACGGAACCACATCGGTTTCTTAATATGTCAATGTATCAAGGAGCTCCAAAAAGAAAGGCCCTTATTACAATGGTAGGTGGACCATTTTTTTTCCAGACGAAAAAAAAAAATAATAATAATAATAATAATTATTATTTTTAGGAAATGGCAGCGTCGGATAATCCATTGATGAGAGAAAGTGAATTAATGGATCCAACGTTATTTTGTACAGCATATAAAAGAAATCGATTTTTCATGTTTACAAAACGTGAACCAGATGCGTAAGTATAAAATTTACAAAGAAAATATTATTATTTTTTTTTTTCTTTTAAAGAAAAGATTATAATTTACAAAATTTTAAATTATTGATCATGATGCTAATTTCACTATTATTATAAATTTACATGTATATAATAGTCATGAATCACATAAAGGAGATAGGGATGTGTATAATGAAAAACCATCAAGGGAAGAACAAACAGTAGCATCAGCGCAACCCACCAAACAAAAATTGGGTAATACAGCCATATTGCGTACAACTTCAGGAGATATTCATGTAAGATTATTCCCAGAATATGCACCAAAAGCCGTGGAGAATTTCGTTACACACGCCAAGAATGGATATTACAATAATGTAATTTTTCACCGAGTTATTAAAGGGTTTATGATTCAAACAGGAGACCCATTAGGTAAGAAAAAAAAAAAAAGGAGAAAGATTTTTCTATGAAACAAGAAAAAATTTGAAAATGTACAAATTGCCAAAAAAAATTTTTTTTTTTTTTTAATGTAAAAAATATGTACAAAAAAATTGAAATATGTTTTTGTTTTTATAATTTAAATAATTAGGGGATGGTACTGGAGGGGAATCAATATGGGGATCAGAATTTGAGGATGAATTTAACAAGGATTTGAAACATGATAGACCATATACTGTGAGTATGGCTAACGCTGGACCAAATACTAATGGATCGCAATTTTTCATTACGGTTGTTCCAACGGTAAGTAATCCAATAAATGTCAAAGTGACATGATTGTTAAAAGTAATTACACCCAAACTAAATATACAAATTATTTTTTAACTAGCCATGGCTTAACAATAAACACACGATATTCGGTAGAGCGACAGCCGGTATGGACGTAATTCATACCATTGAGAATGCAAAGACCGATAAATTGGATAAACCATTTGAAGATGTTAAAGTCATCAATATTGAAATTCGCTGAATTTCTGATAGAAAATATATTAGAATTTTTTTTTGTTAATAAATTATCAAAAATCATCTTAAAAAAAAAAAAAAAAAAGGAATTATAATAAATTTGTAATTAAACTTATTTAGCGACACCAAACATTCTAGCTTCCATTAATTCTTCTATACATTCAATAGAAGGAGCATTACATATTAAGTATTTAATACTTTCAGAAGATCTTAATAAATTCCAATTTTTAAATACAAAATCATAAGCAGTAGTCTTCAATATAATTTTTGAAGTATAACTATTTGAATTCCAAGCCAATTCTAATAATTGATGACAATTTTCAAGATTAACCAAATAAATAATTCTATCAGCAACCAATTGAGTTAATTGTTCTAATCTCATCATATCAGCATTTGTATAAATATCCCTTAATAAATCAAAATCCAAATCATCTTGAAGTTTTAAAGTATATAAATAAAATAAGATTACACGAAAAGTATCAAATGGAATATGTTTAATTGGAATAATTTTCATATTACCATCACCACCAGACCAATTACCACTTAAAAATTTTTCAAAATATTCAGAACGTTGAGATAATATTATACGATGAGCTTTTATAGTACGCATACCATTATCAAAAGTGAAAGCTACATCATAAAAAGTTTCATTATTAAAAAATCTTTCAAAAGAAGCAGGAGATCTAATTATAGGTTCAGGTTCAAAGAAATCATTTCTATAAAAAGGAGTATAAGGGGTAATAATATCATTTGTTAAATTATTATTATAAATAGAAATTCGTACAGTTAAATCAACATCTTCTATATTTGGATCCACATGAGGAAATAAATTAGAAAAAGTTCCAATTGAAGGTACACCAAATAAAGTATTTGAATTTTGAAATTCATAATCAAATCTTAACATATCTTTAGTCTCATAAATTAATATAGGAGTTTCTTTCCAAACATCCAATTGAGAATTAATATTAAAATTATTATTATTGTTGTTGTTGTTATTGTTGTTGTTGTTGGTATTGTTGTTTCCATTATTATTGTTATTATTATTATTATTATTATTATGAGATGATTGATTTTTAGATTTAATTAAACGAAAAACCTGTATTTTAAATTGTATAGATCTCTTTGTAATAAAATGTTGTTTTTCAAATAAAGTTTGTATAGCTTCTAAATATATTGAAATATGAGTAGGTAATTTTTTAATACTACCATTTGGATATAAACGAATTCTCCAAAGATAAGCGGTATCATCAAAACAATTTAAATGAGAACGTTGAGAAGGAAACATTGAAGAACAATCAGACCAACCAGGAGGACATAATAAAGAAGGATCATGAGTACCTCTTGGAGTATGAAAACGATCCGAATAAGTAAAATTTGAATGAGACATCTGACGATATAATTCATTAAAACCCCTTAAAGTCCATGAAAAAGTATAAGCTTGTCTTTGTCTTTGAATAGTTTGAATAGGTAAAGGTGGTTGTTGCGATGGTATTTGAGGGTGAAAAGTTTGTAATGGTTGTGTAGAAAAAGTTGGTTGTAACTGTAACTGATTATTATAAGTTGTAGTTGTAGTCATTGTAGTTGTCATTGTGTTGTAGGAAAAAAAAAAAACAAAACTTTTTTGGAAAATATTTTATTTAAAAAATTTAAAAAAAAAAATTAAAAAATTTTTTTTTAAATTTTTTTTCTTTTCTTTTTCTTTTTAATTTTTTGATTTTGGTATATTTTTTTTCGATATATCAAAATTTGATGCATTCGAAGAAAAAAAAA